GTTAGCAGTCAAGTGCCTTAGGCACTATGCTACCAGAACTCCTATATTCTGATATACAACATACCAAAACATAACATCATCTTTTAAAAATCTCCTTGTCAAATATATCCTTAAGCTTTGTAAAGGAAGAGTTTTCTCTTAACACAGCTTCAGATGGTCTTATTTCTGTTATTCTGTATTGCCCTCATCCCTTCTAAGTTTCAATTCCTTATACGTAAGCTCTGGAGACTACAGCCTATTTCATGGGCTTAATGTGCACATTTCCTGAGTAAAATGCACTAAAATGTTATCTTCTCATATCCTAATTTTCAGAACCGGATTTTTCTTAGAGCCCAAAAAAAAAACAACATTGAAGAGCCTTGAAGTATGGGTCTAAAAGCTTTTGCAGTACATACAATTTGAGTTTTAACTTTGAACTTTGTGGCATCTATTTTGGCTACTTATTACTATGGAGTATAGGATTTATTTCAGATGGGAAGAAGTTTATTTCACCAAGTAGTATTTTTACTACTTACAAGAAGGCATTTAACACAAATTTGAAAAATGACACATATTGAGGCTCTCTATTTAATTAATTATATATTCATTTGCTAAAAATGTTAAACTAGTTGCTAGAAGAAATAAGAGCATTAAGTTGAAGATGTTTACTAAAAACAGAAAAATAGATTTGAAACATGAGAACTATTTCCAATCACCAAAAACTTTATAATTTAAAATACTTACTAGTTATTGCTGTGCCAATGTAATACATTTCAGTTAAAGAGTCTACTATCTGTTTGAGATTCCTCACACAGCCAACAGCTAATGCTACCAGTAACTCAAAACCAGCAGTAATGGTAGCTGGTGAACTACACACTGGAATAGCCTGTTCAGCTGGCAGTTCTCCATTTCTCATATATTGCAGATAAACATTGGATGCAGGAAAGATGAAATCATCAATTAATTCCTAAAGATTTGAAAGAAAGGATTATGTATTAGCAATGACATATATTTTAGGAAAGAAAAACATTTCTTGCAAAAAATAATTCCAAAATTATGTCAGAATTCAAGATCTCATTATAGCTCAGAAAATTTGGATTTTCTAATAAAAATATCCCACTCCAAAACAGTATTTATAATAACTAATGAGCATACTCAATTTTCCAGGTTAAAATAATTTTTAAGTATGAAGAGTTGATTGTAGTATTAAGAAAAATTATGTTCTAAATAAATTTACTACTTCAATCAAATATATATCAAAATAAATTCACTTTGCATGAAAATGAAATACACTAAAATACTTTGTTTCTTTGAGTTATCACACCTGAAGAAATTCATTAAAGAAACAAAAATAGGTTTGCTGTTATTTTAAATAGTCTGATGAAGTAAAATTTGTATTTTATAAATAGAAAAATTAAGTGTTTATTTTATAAAATGCTTTATGCTAACATTTTATTTCCATATAAAACTTTTAAAAAAATCTCAAACTAGGGTATAGTTAAACTTTTAAAATTACAGCAATCTCTGCTTTTTAGAAGTCAAGGTAACACATTAAAGATAATTACAGATTAATTGGACACATTTCCTAATGAACACTTTAGAAGGTTGTGATATCTACACTTTAAGATCAAGAGGACAGAACTTACTTTAATGAGATTAGCACCTCCTTTTTCACAACCAATATGGTATTTTTTCTCAGAAGTTTGAAAGGCCAGTAACTCTTTTGTCACTCCAAGGTGGCCTTCCAAGATCGTCTCTTCAACACCTGTTTCACCTGTTCTTTTAACATCATCCTGCCAAAGGAAAAAATATCAAATGCCTAACTTATGAAAAATTATAAATAAGTATCTTCAAAAATAACTTCCCATATAACTCTGCCTAATAAAAATAATCAGGAATATCAAAAATTAAAGTGCTAGTCTATCGGGACTCATTTTTTATGGAAACTTTTTTTTTATTTAAAAAGGTAAGAATTTGCAAAAAGTCCAAAATATGCAAATAGAAGAGACTAAACATCAGCATTCCAAATCTCAAGTAAACTATTTTAGAAAAACTAATTATGCATTCATTGTGTTAATCCTGAGTTACTAATATCCACCAATATAGTGCATATTCTTTGGGCCTTTTTATTATTCTTTGCTTTTTTGTATTTAATTAAAATGCTCAAAACTATAAACCATCTATTAAAACAAATCAATCTATTTATTAAAAGTGATGTGATAAACACAGTATTAAATTCAACTTACCCTAATTCTTTTAAGCCAATCAATTTCATTATTGAGAAGAACTTCAGCATTAGGCACATTGATGTTACTATTGTAAGCGTAATTAAGAAGGTGCCTTAAAAGAGTGAAGTAGTCTCCTGAATGTTTAGCTCTCTCTCTGGCTGTGCTCTAAAACAATATAAGTAAAATAACATTAATTTACATCATGTCTATAGTTCAGAATCCTTATCATAAAATCCCAGAATTGACTAGAACAGGTGACTAAAGTAGTATGGAAAATTACTGATATGTTGTTTAAATACATAGGGAATGACCTAATTTTAATGCAAGCTAACACCATAAATCCCTGAATGTTGCTTATTTAAAGAATGAATTATACTGATAAGCATATTAAAAGGTATCTCACCCCCAGAACGGTAAAGAGCAGAGTAATGAAGAAAAGTAGAGGCCTGTGTCCCATGCAACATCTGGTACACATTAAAAAGAACTGCTCCTGTGCCACTTGACGAACAGTTCTGAAATAAAAAGGTTTCACATCATTTTCATGGGGAACAAAAGATTCCAACACCGGTATCTCTTGGGGGAGAGGGAGAATGAGGTGGTAAATAAATAAATAGTGAAAATACAAGGTAACCTCCCTTAAGCACTCAAGCTATCAACTCATAATAAACTTATGGTGTGTGGCAACGAGTTTAAATTATCAACTGAAGAGCTCCAAGAATTTCTCAGTTAAATAATCTTTCTTTCCATTTGACTACTTCAATATGCACTGTCAATCAGGGGCAGGCCTGCACAATTCAAAGGGCAGAGGTGGGTAATTAGAAAGTAAGGCTGTAGGTGTTCTTGTAGATACCTTCTAGGACCTCTCTGAAAATGCTAGAAATGTTCTTCTAGATACTCTACAAGATTCTCATGTAGTAAGTTGCATTTTTTTTTTTACTTTACACAGAATTGTTTTTATTTATTTTATTTGGAGCAAATAGCTCTGTGGAATTCTATGTATCTTTTGATCTTAATATGCACAGTTGTCCAATGTTGGTAAAGACTTCTCAAGAAGTAGCAAGATCAACTGTGATTTACAGAGACCCTGTTAAAAGGAGTTTCTAATTAGGCTAAACTAGATATCCTAAAGAAAATTGCCTAAGGAAATTCTTAAAATAGCAGACATTCCTACTTGAGGCCTATCAAATCACTTTAGCCCATCCTCAGGGGTGAGCAAGTTGAACCTACTTCATTATATCATGTATGTTACACTTTCAGCTTTATTTCACTTCAACTTCAGCAACTCCTGATTTTGACTTTATACTAATCTTTGACTCATCAATGAGTTTCATCATTGTTGAATGGCACGTGATGGAATGGTAAGCAAATTGAACATTTTCTGTGTCTTTTCACAAAATGTATATAAGACAGACTGATTACATGTAATAGTGACACTAATTAGAGCTCAAATTTAGAAAATTACCTTTTAAATATGACAGTCAGGATTGGACTGACATAAAAGAGACCACGACAATTTCTACAAATCTATGACTGAGTTACATAAAAAGTGAAGCCCTAAACAAAATTACTATCACTGACTGCTTTGGACTGAATTATGCCCCACCTAAAAAGTGTTGCAAATCCAAACCTCTATACCTGTGGCTATAATTATCATTTGGGAATGGGCTGTTTTTGTTACATTAAGGAGGAAGGATCAGAGCCCACTATATCCTGAGTCAATCTCTTTGGAGACATAGAAGAGATTAAACAAAGGAGCAGCAGACCCAGAGGAAGAGGTGCCAAGACCCATGAAGAACAGAAGCTCAAAGAGACAAGGACCTTCCCCAAAGCTAAGAAAGAGTATGTGCATCCGCGAAAGCCTTCCTCCCTAGAGCAAGTGCCTAGAATTTGGATTTCTAGCCCCCCTAAACAGCATGAAAATATATTTGTTTCTAAAGCCACCCAGTTGTGGTATTTCTGTTATAGCAGCTCTAGATGGCTAATGCTTTTAATTTTAAAAATTTAAACCACATCAAAAAGTAGACTAAAATATATGCCTTTTACATGAACCTGAATTCTGAAATTAGAAAAAATTAATTAGTGCTTTGAGCTATAATTTTGGCACTCTGCAGAGACTAAAACCAAACAAACTTATGTCTAAGCAAAACACAGGTAAATAAAAATCTCTTCAACACCAAGGTCCTCTTATAGAGATTAATTTCTGCTTACAAAAATAAGGTAGTTACTTAGAATTTAAAAAGGTACTTACTTGCTGTGACAATGCAACAGTAAGTCAATAATGAATGTCTGCCAAGCTTTTTCTTTACTAAGTGCATCTAAGGCTGTCGGAATCAAGGCAAAGCATAACGTCATCACTTCCAACGCTTCACAGCAAACCTGTTCATCTTCCAAGTCCGGCTCATTGCCTGCATTGGTCTGTAAAATTATAATCAGGAGCAGATCACTTAGAGATGTATTTAAGAAAAATCTCCTACAACTTCTCATTAGCATTTAAAACTTACCTACTCATTTAAACCATTTGGCCTCAGTCAC